ACGGACCCTCTTTCCTTGTTTTAGTTTCAGATAATCTTCTCAAAGCTAGCCACTCTATTTGTTTTCAGTAATCCTATCTATCTCTTCTTTTCAGAACCTATTACCCATCAGTTATTCATTTTCTTTTCCTATCATGGTATCAATCAAGAGACACTAAGCTATGCTGTAGTAGCAAACTGCCTTAGTATGTCGTTGGTTCAAAACGATAAAGTTGTGTTCTCTTCCTATTCACAATCTGTGCCCCTTTCAGAGAAGCTGATGTGACTGTTCAAGTTGCTTAGGTTTTCAGACTCAGAATGATAATACAGCCTCTATCTGAAACTGCCAACTGTTATGGTGGAAGGAAGCTGAAGTTGGCGAAGTCACATTAGTTCTTACAGCTTCAGTCTCGAAGGGACATTCGTATATGTCATGCATACTTTCGCATATATTTTAAAAATCTCAAAGCAAGTTCCATGCCCAAAGCTAACTTCAAATGGGCTGAGTGCCAGACAGTGAGGAATTGAAATATTTGGGAACAAGCGACTGACTACATATCCTAGTTATAGCCTCCCTTCTCCACTTAAATGCTTTCAAACCTTTTATATTCAAACAAACATTCCTTTATTTATTTGTTTATTTTTGAGGGGGTGCTGTATATGTCTAGTTTCTCATTCTCTTTTACTGCTCACCAGACTGAAATATAGACAATAATGTCTCTACTTCAAATGCTTTAATTTTTGTGTTAGTTTGCTAGGGTCACTGTAACAAAATACCACAGACCAGACAGCTTAAATAACAAAAATGATTTTTTTTTTAACAGTTCTCAAGTTTAAGTTCAAGATCAAGGAAGGTGTTGCCAGGTTGGGTTACTCCAGAGGCTTCGCTCTTTGGCTTGCAGATGGCTGTATTTCTCCAGTGTCCTTACAGGGCTTATTTCTGTTGGAGAGGTTTTATTATTATTATTATTTTTTTTTAATTTTTTTGCTGTAGGGTGTGTGTACTTACCAGAAAGACAGAAACAGAGAGACAGAAAGTGAGAAATCACCCCCCTTATGGGGGATGACCACAACATAATCCCTTCTACTCCATTTCTCCTCTTGGGATCTTGGGCACGCACACATATATGCCTGGCGTGAGTTTAACCCACCGGGTCTGGGACTCGAACTGTAGTTGAATACATGGGAGTTCGGCAACATAACCATTAGGCTAACTGCTGGTTCCCAGGGCTTATCTGGTTTCTCTTTCTTTTCTTATGAGAACACCAGTCATATTGACTCTTATCTCCCTAACATTAAGCTTTCAATGTATGACTTCTGGGGAAATCTATCACAGTTATGATCACCACATATAAAAGACATGTTCAATATTTAAGTTAATTTCTCATAATGGCATTTTACACTTTACACCATGGAGAATCTCTTTTATTCAAATTCCCTCAGTCTTTAGTTTTTAGCATTTTTTAACTTTGAAGCTCTTTTCCTTTTCTTCTTTGAGCTCCTCTGGGATTTTTTTCTTTTTCTTTTTTCTTTTTTTTCTTTTCCCTGCAAATTGTTTTCCTGAGAGACTTTGTCTGTCTATATCCTTGGCTTTGGTCACAACTACTATGGATGATGAGCCCCATGTCACTTGCCCAGTCCACTGAGTTCCAAGGTCACATATTCAACAGTGAACTTGAATGTCCTTCATGGTGCTTGTACCAATGGCCATCCTCTGGGTGCTGCTTTGAAAGGCAGGATCACAGGCCTTACCTCAGAACTACTAAAACTCAGTCTGTATTTTGGTAGGACCCCCAGATGATTTTTACCCTTAGTAAGTTTGAAAAGTAGTTTTATACTTTATTTTTCCACATGGCTTTGCAATGAAATCTTAAGTGAAACATATTCAGGATATATTTTAGTTTCTCTCTTGCTAATAACTGAAAACCACACTGGGTAATTTATAAGAACAGAGGTTTATTACCTCATGGTTTTGGAGGCCCAAGGTCAAAGGACCTCATCGGGTAAGTCTTCTTGTTGGTGAAAACTCTCTGCAGAGTACTTGATCTTTCAAAATGCTAAAGCTCAATTTCTTGGTACTCCAAATTTTTGGTTTTAAAACTCAGAAGTCCTCATTTATAAAATTAAAAAACAAAAAAAGACCAGATACCTCTGTTTGTGTTGAATCGTCCCTCCTATAACGATAGGGGTAAGAGAAGTAATATGGGAAGACAAAGAACACCTTTGTTGATACGTTAAATTTCATTTCTTTCGATCACTTTTATTTTGATGTTTCTAAAATATCTTAGTCATATTTAGTAAAGACTATTATTTTAAGTTCTAAGACCCCAAAGAGAAGATGCGGGTAGGAGAATAACTTAAGACTAGTTACTAAACTTTTTCTCAGTAATCAATTGATAAGGATGTTGTAAGCCTCTGATATTGTCTACATGGAAAAGGTAATACTATTACAACTATCAGATACCAGCAGTCATGAGATTTTTAGAAAGGTTAAATGAAGTGGCAGTGGGGTGGAATGGGTATGAGTGTGTGAGTGCCTAGGTATCCACAAACTCACACTCTTGTATACACTACTCATAAACTGTTGGAACTAGAGTTAGAAAAGATTCATATCCAGAAAAAATGTTTTAAAATAATTATTTATTTTATTTTATATGTTATTATCATTATTTTTTCATATACAGTCACCAGAGAAAGAGGGGGGGGGCAAGAGAGCAAGTGAGAAAAGCAAGCCACCAGGTCCAGAATTCAAACCAAGACAGTTGGCCATGTAGGAGTCCAATGCCTCAACCACCATGTCACCTGCTGGCCCCCCAAAAAACCAATTATGTTGAAGGAATATATTTGAATACTACTATTTATTATTTTAAAAAAATTTCTCTTGATTGTTAGAAAAATATTTAAAAATACATAAAAGTAGGTAGAAAAACTTAAAAAATTGCATTCTAAACTTTATGCATTACAATATAAAGTATTTATGTTGACCTTTATTATGGATTTTTAGTTTTCATTGTTTTCTTTTTCCATTCAGAGAATTTATCAACAGTCTCCGACTATACCGGTCATTCTATGGAGGCTTGGCTGATCAGCTTTGTGTTAATGAATTAGCTGCTGCTGAGGGACTACCCTGCTGGAACGGAGAAGATATAGTCAAAAGGTATTTTTTTATGTAGTGGCCTGTGAAAATGTAATTGCTATTTTCATCCTTACTTTCTTCTTTCAAATATAAATGATACATTTCAGTTTTAAGTTTGTCACGCAGGTTAGAGTGTACATTATTACCTTCTCTTTCATTTCTTTAAAAAAAAAAAACCTGACCCTGTTTGATATTTTTGAAAAATAATATTATTTTGTAGTATTTTGGAAGTCTCTCTTCTTTTCTACCTAACTGACTTGCGTAACAATCCCATTTTTTAAACTTAATTATCATTTACCTTGTATCCAAACTGTTTATCTTGTTTATCAAACGTTTCTTTATTTTTTGTTTATATTAGTATTAGAAAGCCAAGAAATTAAGTAAAATGTAAATTCTTAAGCAAATACTTATGGATAAATGAAATAGATATGTGTCTCAACAGAATTAATTCAATGATTTTTGTGTGTCTTTATGTAATAGTGAGGGCACTACTATCTATCTATTTGAGATATTGTTTTTTTTTGACATGGTTGCAAACTTATGAGTGAAATTTTGCTTTAACTTTTTGCTTCTCTGTCTAGACTTTCTTTGACAGTTTCTTTTCTTTGCTTTCTATAACTGATTGTACTCTCAGATAATCTCCTGAGCTTGAGAAAGACATAAATTTTTCCTCTGTTGTCATTAGAACTGGTTAGATATTACTCCTTTGATTTGCCAATGCCGGTGATTATTATAGACTATAGAATAATGAGACGTTACATTTGAATTGGTTAAAGTATAAAATAACATATGCATTTTTCATATACCTTATTTTTTGCATTTGAATCTATTAAAAAGTCTGCTCAGAATTTGAATCTATGAAAAATATACCTTGTTTAGAGTAATTTGCAGAAAGAACGTTAATCTTTTTGACTTATAAACATACCCACTTAAGAAGATAGGTGGTTTAGTTATCGTGAAAATGATAAGTTCATTTAAAATATTAGCAAATTAAATTTACTATGCTAGATACATACTACAACTAATTTTTACTGAATATTTTCATAAGAAAAGCTATTTACATATTTCTGAGTGACCATATTCATTGCTATTATTAAAATACTATTAATATTATTAAAATTATAATTAAATATTAATAAAATATTTGACATAGAAAACACTATTTTTTCATTTTCTCCTTGGATATAAGAATGTAAGAATTTCTGAATATTCCTCTTCTGCTTTTACCTGAGAGCAGTTATGGAATTTGTGGTACTTTGAGTTTTTTTGTTTGTTTGTTTTGTTTTGTTTTTAGAGATTTTTTTGCTACAGAACTTGTGCATTTGTGAGAGATACAGAGAAAATAAAAAATCACTGCCCAGGGGGATGACTGTGGTCCCTTTTCCTCTTTTCTCCTCTCAAGATTTTCGGCATGTGCATGTGCACACATGCACCTGGAGTTTCAAGCTGCTGTGTCCAGGACTTGAATTGTCCTTAACCATGTAGGAGCCTAACAACTTAGCCACTATGCCACCTGCTGGCCCTGGTACTTGGATTTATAGAATTCATATCAATCAGATTTCTGCTTAGACCTAGTAATTAAATTCTACTTGACTTACCTTTTTTCAAAAAAAAAAATTCAAATGACTTGAAGTTTTATGCGTATTAGTGATATTTCTGCAAGAACTAATAAAACACTCATGGTGATTAATGGAAACTTTAGTGTGTAATATAAATATATTTAATTTTTACATGACATTATGGCATATGAATCTACAGCCCTAAGAACCTTGGTTTAAATTTGTCCTGTTTTTTTGATGGGATAGTTAGCTTAAGGTTTGTGTACTAGAAAATATTATTGGAGAAATGAGTGATTTGGGGAATTTTCTTAGAGGGACAGTATTTACAACTCAAAGAACACGTTTCCTTCTGTATCATATATATGTGTGTGTATTTGTGAGTGTATATATTATATATGCATGTGTATATACATGTATATATACACACAAATATACATATATACCCATACGTATCAATGTGTATATATGTGTGTATATATCACATATATATGTATATGTGTGTATACATACACAGGTGTGTGTGTATATATATATATGTATATATATATATACACACACACACACACACACACACACATATGTCTAAGACTCTAACTGTGGTTGACCATGTGGGAGTCTAGCATCTTAACTACCACTCCTCTACTGGTCCCAAGTCAGTCAATTTTCGATGTATATTTAGAATCAATAACAGTTAAATGCTCAAATATGGATATTCATTAAATCTGGTCTATTGATTATAGTATATTCATCATTGAATATTATATGTAAGGTAGGTTATATATATATGTGTGTATATACACACATGTGTGTGTGTATATATATATATATATATATATATACACACACACACACACACACACACACATATGTCTAAGACTCTAACTGTGGTTGACCATGTGGGAGTCTAGCATCTTAACTACCACTCCTCTACTGGTCCCAAGTCAGTCAATTTTCGATGTATATTTAGAATCAATAACAGTTAAATGCTCAAATATGGATATTCATTAAATCTGGTCTATTGATTATAGTATATTCATCATTGAATATTATATGTAAGGTAGGTCAGCCTGCGGCCTGGTGGTTAGGCAGCTAAATCTAACATCACCAACTGTGCAGTGTGAGTCCCTCACCCAGTATCTTGAAAAACACACAATGTGTGTGTGTATGTATGTACCTGCATACATGCCTCAAAGCTCTAAAGGTGGAAGAGATGAAGGAAAAGTGTTTGCAACATGTTCCACATGGGTGTTTTCTGTCACTCTCATTTTCTGTCACTCTCTCTCTCCATATCTTTCCAGTGAGTGTGCAAGCACCCTGGAAAATTAAAAAATATGGGGCTAGCAGTTGGTGTAATGGCTATGTCACTGGACTCCCATGTAGTTGACCATGGTTCGAATCCCAGACCTGGTGGCTTAAATTCATGCCAGGCACATGTGTGTGCATGCCCAAGATCCCAGGAGGAGAATGGAGGAGAAGGGATTGCAGCGTGACTATCCCCCTTAGGGGGTAATTTCTCACTTTCTGTCTTTTTGTCTCTCTCTGTCTTTCTGGTGATTGCACGCACCCTATAGGAAAAATCTCTCAAAAAAATATATATTATGTAAAAGAGTAAAAAATGTATGCATATTTATATGCATATTTATGCTATTGCAGAATGGTTTCAAATAGTGGGTATATATAGCTAGAAACAGGATATTACATATTTTACCAGAAAATTTAAAATAATCAAATGGATACTGATATTGAGTATGCATGGAATATTTTTAGATGTTTATAAGAAAATTATTAATGTGTCTACCTTCAGGACAAATCCATGGGAAACTTTTTAAAATTAATTTGTATTGCACATATTTATTTTTAGTGAGAACAGGTATTAAGGTGATGCCAGAATTTTTATTGCTTTTTTTCTTTTGGTTTCTCATTCTCCCTTGTAAAAAAAAAACAAAAAACCTACCTTATACAAAGTAATTTATGCACTTAATTTCTATGAATTTAGATTTTCATAGTAATCTTGCGATACAGTTTTGTCAGTCTTAATGGGTACATTTCACTACTGAACAACTGAATTTATATACGAGGATTTCTGTATATATCCTGATGACTATTACAATCTGAGATTGTTAACCACTTTTCCCTTGAGAAAAAATAAATTGTAGCAGTGATCAATGGTGAAAAGCTCTAAGCAATTCTCATATAAGATATTCATTTCAGAGACCTGCAGTTAGTTGAGATAAATAATGCCATTCCATATTGAGGCAATGGATACGGAGGGAAGAGTGAATGTACACCACATTTGGAGATGATAAACTATCAATATTTTCCTTTTTTATGGTGAGATACAATACTCATAAAGTTTATTCTAGAGAATTTATGCCAAACACATCAATAGGCTAAATTGGCGGCCAAGATTGAGTCTATCATTCATTATGAGAGCGAAGTGATTATTTTGGCAAGATTTCTTCTCCTGCAGGCATTTTTAGGAGGTGATTGATAAGATTCTTTATGTGCACAGACATGCTGCCTGGGATAGGAAAACTGTACAGACTGATTCAATATTTTGACAGTCCTGCAAAATTGGGCGAAGTCACCTCTTCGCTCATCAAAAGAGGTGAAATGCCTTTGATTATAAATGAAAATGTCTCAAATATCTATAGTATGTAAGAAAAATTTGATTTCTGGAAACAAAATCTATTTTAATTCAAATGATTTTAAAACTGTATTCATGCCATATACTCAACTACAACAGTGAGGTCAAACAGTTTCTGATTTAAGATGAAAATGTGTTACTGAAATCCGTGTCGTCTACATCTCTTGAAATTCCTCTTATCTGCCTCTCCTGTCTCTTCATCATGAAATGGAATTGCTCTCTGTTAGGCATGTCAGTCTCTACTCCATTCTCAGTTCTCTGTGATTGCAAATTGATTGTTTGATGATTTGTACTCGTCTTTCTAGCATTGAAGTTCAGGTGACAGCTCCTTAATTACCACAGCTTCCTTCTCCCTTTTGATGAATAGACAGATCCAGTAACTCCTGCTCAACCTCCAGGAATTTATGACCTCCACAACAACTCTTAAACTAGCCAATATCTATTAAGTACCCTTGTAAAATTAATAAGCCATGTATTTTCTACTTCATCATAATTTAGTTAATGTGTCGGAATGTTTCCTTCATAATCTACTTTTTCTCTGTTCTGATGATTAGGAGATGCTTTTGCTCAACTCACTGTAGTGGAGTTTTAAAAATCAGATGAACAGAACACTAGAAATCTCTTGGGTTTTGTACTTATCTACTACCAGTTACCTTTCCATAGGTAATATCATTCTTCCCAGCCATAATGTTTTTTTTTTTTTTTTTACCTCAATTTCCCTCCTCCCCCGTTTACATGTTGTCTACCAGGAAAGCTGCTTCATTTTCAATCACTCCTTTTTCTTCCTACTCTTATGAGAGTTAGTTTTCTTTTTA